CTCGCTTTGCAAGCGAGAGACCTGAGTTCAATTCCAGGCAGAGGGCGAAACCTTGGGCAAGTTTCCTTACTCCACGCGCCTAATAATAATCCCTCCAAAACAAAAACAATAATAAATTGGTCATTTTCAATCAAAGACTGTTTGATTGCTGTGCACAATTGGCTGCTGCGTTCGCCCACAAATATACAGTCAATTCACTTTACAGTGTGTTCTGTGAAGCGCTTTGGGACGTCCTCCGGACGTGAAAAGCGCTATATCAAATGCAAGGATTATTATTATTATTATTATGTGGGAGTTGATGGAGGGCAGCCTGAGCCCAGGTGCCTATATCTGCTGCAAGTGTCTACAACTGAGGAAGCTCCGGCTTAGAGCAGCTGAGCTGGAATCCGAGATGCAGACATTGCGCAGCATTAGGGAAGGTGAGCGCTTCCCAGATAGTTTCATCCAGGAAACAATCACTCCCCTGAGGCTAAGTAAATGCATAGATTCTGCTACTTGTCAGTGACAGGACAGTGTGACTGACAGTCAGGCAGGTAAGGGGACCCCAGAGAGAGTGGTGGAGAAGCCTCAGGCTTTAACCTTGTCCAACAGGTACGAGGTACTTGCAACCTGTGTGGACAAGGAAGTCTGTAAAGAGGAGGATGGGCAAACTGACACCAGCACCTCTATACAGGAGGCCACACCAGTGGGGGTAGCAAAACAGAATGTAGTTGTGATAGGGTACGAGACAGTCAGGCGGACAGACACTCTTCAGCCGCAACCAGGAGACACAAAGTGAGCAAGAAGGTGGCAGAAGCAATATAATGCGGGAAAGTGTGAAGTTATTCACCTAGGTAGTAAAAATAGAAAAGCGGATTATTTTCTAGAGGGGGAGAGACTAGGTAGTGTTAGTATTCAGAGGGATTTGGATGTTCTTGTATACCAGTCAAAAAAAGTTAATATGCAGTGCAGCAAGCAACTAGGAAAGCTAATGCCATGTTGGCATTCTTGCAAAAGGGTTAGAGTACAAGAGTAGGTAAGTCTTGCTGCAGTTGTATAAGGCCTTGAATATTGAACACCTTGAATATTGTGTAGTTTTCATCTCGTTATTTAAAAAGGACATACTCGCCTTAGAGGGGGTTCAGTGTAGATTCACTAGGTTGGTTCCTGGGATGAGAGGGTTGACCTACGAGGATAGGTTGAGTAAACTTGGCCTATGTTCTCTAGAATATAGAAGAATTAGAGGTGATCTTATAGAAACCTATAAGGGTCTTGACAGGGTAGATATTGTGAGATTGTTTCCCCTGGTTGGAGAATCCAAAACTAGGGGTCATAGTCTCAAGATTAAGGGTCAGCCTTTTCAAACTGAGTTGAGGAAACATTTCTTCATTCAGAGGATAGTGAATTTGTGGAATTCTCTACCCCAGAAGGCTGTGGATGCTCAGTTCTTGAAAATATTCAAGACTGAAGTTGAAAGATTTCTAAAGGATAGAGGGAGTAAGGGATATGGGAATAGGGAGGTAAAAGGAATTCAGTTAGATGGACAGCCAGATTTTATTAAATGGCAGGGCAGCCTCGAGGGGACGAATGGCCTACTGCTGCTCCTATGTCTTATGGTCTTATGGTCATATGGTCTCTTGTTGTTGCTGCTGCTGCTACTCATGTTGCTCCTTGGGGCGAGCAAGGCGGGTGACGTGAAGCAGGCCGGAGCTCTCTGAGCGGAAGGAGCGAGCAGGATGGTAGGGGGTTAGGAGGTCGGAGAGGTAGGTGGGAGCAAAACCATGGAGGGCTTTGAAGGTGAGGACCAGGATCTTGAACTGTATCCTCTGTGTGATGGGAAGCCAGTGGAGTTGGGCAAGCATTGGGGTGATAGGGTTGCGGAGCCTAGTGCGAGAGAGGACATGGACTGTAGAGTTCTGGATGATCTGCAGTCTGTGGAGGGACGAATTGGGGAGGCTGACAAGCAGGGAGTTTTCTTAGTGAAGCCTGAATGCTATGAATGTATGTATGAGGGTTTCGGTAGCCTACGATGTGAGACAGTGGCTGAGCCGGGCGATGTTGTGGAGATGGGGGAAGGTAGAGTGGGTTATGGCACAGATGTGGGGTAGAAAGGATAGTTGAGGGTCAAACAAGACCCCAAGGTTCCGGACTGGCTTAGCAAGGTGCAGTGTGCAACCATGGATGGTGATACTGTCAGCGCCTGAGGTGAGGAGGCGCTGACGGGAGCCAATCAGGAGTTGACGTCCAACTGAAGAAAATTAGCACTCATCCAGGACTTGATGTCTGACTGACATTCAGTCAGGACAGCAGTGGTCTTGGAGTCAAGGATGGAGGCAGAGAGGTAGAGTTGGGTGTCATCCGCATACATGTGGAAGTTGACGTCATGTCTGCGGATGATGTCACCAAAGGGGAGCATGTAGATATTGAAGATGGGGAGGGGGAATGTAAGTTGTTATGGTCTGAAATTGTTGAAATCAATATTGAGGCCAGAGGACTGTAAGGTCCCAAGCAGACAGTTGAGATGCTGTTCCTCAAGCTTGCGCTGTGGCTCATTGGAACAGCGTAGGAGACCATGGATAGAGAGGTCAGAGTGGGAGGGAGAGTTGAAGTGGCAAGAAACCGGAAGCTCAGGGTTGTGCTTGCAGACAGAATGGAGGTGTTCGGCAAATCGGTCGCCCAATCTACGTTTCTTCTCCCCGATGTAGAGACCACATCGTGAGCAGCGAATGAGGTAAACCACACTGAGGTCGTAAAAGTTCTTCTCAGTTCTTCTCCTCCCCCTGGCACCTTCCCATGCCAGCACAGTACATGCAATACCTGCCCTTTCATCTCCTCCCATACCACTGTCTGAGGCCTCAAACACAGATTTCAAGTGAGACAGAGATTTACACGTACTATCACCGATGTTGTTTATGTATTCACGATGTGGTCTCCTTCGCTGCACTTGGAAACCCCGCTGTTGTGTGTGACTGTGTGTGTGTCTCTTTGTGTGGGTGTGTCTCTCAGTGTGACTGTGTGGGGATCTCTCTGTGTGAGTGTCTGTGTGAGGGTCTCTGTGTGAGTGTCTGTGTGAGGGTCTCTTTGTGTGTCTGTGTGTCTCTCTTTTTGTGAGTCTGTGTGAGTGTCTCTCTGTGTTTGTGAGTGTGTGTGTGAGTGTCTCTCTCGTTGTTTGTGAGTGTGTGTGTCTCTCTGTGTTTGTGTCTGTGTGAGTGTCTCTCCCGTTGTTTGTGAGTGTGTGTGTCTCTCTCTGTGTTTGTGAGTGTCTCTTTCTGCGTCTATGTCTCTTTGTGTGTCTGTGTCTCTCTGTGTCTGTGTCTCTTTGGTTTTGTAAATGTCTGTGTGAGTGTCTCTCTGTTTGTGAGTGTGTGTGTGTCCCTCTGCGTTTGTCTCTGTGAGTGTCTCTCTCCTCTGTATGTGTCTCTTTCTCGATTTGTGTTTGTGAGTGTCTGTGTGTCTCTTCCCTGTATGTGTCTGTTTGTGAGTGTCTGTGTCTTTCTCCTGTCTGTGTATATATCTTTGTGTCTGTGAGTGTGTGTCTCTCTGTGTCTGTGAGTGTCTCTCTATCTGTGAGTGTGTGTCTCTCTCTGTATCTCTGAGTGTGTATCGTGAGCAGTGCTGGTGGTGAGCTCCTGTAACCAGTCAGGACACTGGTCTCTCTGTGTGACTGTGTGTGTGTCTCTCTGTGTGGAGGACACTGGTCCTGAGTGCCTTTTTGGGCGGCTCTCCAGGCCTTTCTGTGCTGGTGTCTCTCCTCTGCCACCCCCGCCACAAATGGGCCACCCAGGTTTTGTAAAACAAATTTAAAAAATTTTTGCACTTCAACAACAACTTGGATTATACAACGTCCTCCATGCTGGACGGCGTCTCAGAGCGCTTCACAGTAACGGATCCCGGGGCCGAGCCAGGCTCTGTCGAAAAGAAAGGTCTTCAGCAGAAACCTGAAAATAGGAAGAGAGGGGGCGAGGCGAAGAAGTGAGGAAGGGAGTTCCAGAGCCTCGGGGCATAGTGGCTGACGGCAAGGCCGCCGAGGGTGGAGTGGAGGACTCGGGGGACAAGGAGCAGGCCAGACCCGGTGGAACGGGCACTGTTTTGAGGAAACAGGTCAGAGAGGTAGGGGGGTGCAGAGGAGTGGAGGGATTTGAAGACAAGGGTGAGGATGAAAACGTGTAGGTTGGCAATAAAATGTACATCAATAGCACCAATCACCCCCTGCAATTTCCCGCAGAACTTGTCAAAACTTCCCGCAATTTTTGGCAAATATTTCCACACTTTTCTATTGGCCCAGGCCATTATTCTATGGGTAGCGCTCTATATAAATGCTAGTTGCTGTTTTTGCCTGTGATGACTCTCAACATACAGTGATTTCATTGCAAATATTCCGCTCTCTGTAATATTCCATACAAATATTGCACTGCATTTTCTGTATATGCCCTTAATGCTTGTGCTTTACGAAAACAATTCTTCACTTCCAAGAGTGATTGATAGAACTGACACAGTACAACACAGCAGCTACTAATATTTGGAAACATTAATAATTCACATAATCTTTATGAAGAAATATTCTTTATTAAATTAATTTGTAAAATACAATTTATTATTACCCATCCATAATTGAATAGCCGTCAAAAAACATAGTGTCTTTTGAGTTACACATTTTGTAGCATAAGAATGTACATATTTAAATATTTGTAGGTAGAAATATTTTCCATGTTCTTTTACCATTAGTCCTGAACGATTGGAGTTAAAAAGCAGTAGGATCCCCACCTAAAGCAGATTTCAGGATTTTAACAGGTCTGCGGTGACATACTGGTGGTTAAATCAGGATACCTCTTTTAAGACCCAGTCCTTATTGAGTAATCTTGTTTTTAATAGCTTATAAATTATTTTAATTTTTTTTTAAAATGGCCGATTTTCAAGCTCATTATTTTAACACAATATGTGACAAAAGTGTTGTATATCACAAGTGGGAGGAGAATCTTGTCACTTGTATCTGGTCTTGTGTGTGTCATCGATATATTTTCCCTGCCAATTTTAATTTTCATACCATGTTTCAATTTGACCCACTCTATTTTCCCTGTACCAGAAATCATTTGGACGTTTTCCAGCATATACCATAAAACAGTTTAAAAGTCATATACAAAATATTTAAAAATACATAAGCACAATATTAATTTACATTTGATACAATTTCTATATCAATCATGAAGCAGATTTATTTTCTCATGAATTAATAATTTAATTGTGACTGTCACTGAGGAATTATATTAAATCTTTGCTATGTACACTGCAAACTCTTGGTGCAAGGCACACTGTATATTTTAGAAATGCTGTTTGAATAATGAAAAAGCAAAGTTGTTTTCTGAAACAAAACTAAATGCGAATCTCTATCATCACATTTTTTCATCTCTTACCATTCCATGCTGCTTGTTTTGTGTATAGAAAGCAAAATAGGGAATTAAGTAATTAAAAATAAAACCACCTCTATTTCAGTGTGGCAGTTTGGAGAGTGCTTGTAACTGTGTCCATTACCTTGGCCTTTGATCTGAATGTTCTGTCAGATGTGGATCTGAATAAGTTCACTTAACACTTTCCTGATGGATTTATTCCTTTGATTTTTTTAAAAATTGTTCTATAGAAGGTAATTTCTTTCATCCTGCACAATTCCTGCTTTCACAGAATCAGTTACCCACGACTCTGACACAATCTTGAACTTCCTTTCAAAGGTTCTCCTGAGAGATTTCAGTTTTTGGAGATGTTGGCCACGATCATGTTTGACCACATGTGAGACACCTTCATTCAGTTCTCCGACGACTTTTGCCCCATAATACCGCAGCTCCAAGGCCCTTAAATCTAAGCTTGTGTCACGTATCTGACTGTTGGGATCGCTTATGGCAGAAGGGAAGTCCATATCCATGTAAATGACACAATGTCTGAACATGCTCAGAGGTGACGTGTCCCATGAATATCGCTGTTCTAAGTCTGCAATAGTTTCAAAAGAGAACTTCTGTTCTGGTTGATCCATCCTTTTGAACACCTCCCGAAGCTGGCTTTCATCAGTGTTGACAAAATAGCTGTCACCATAGTGATCATATTCCTGGGCAAAATGTTCTTCTGTGGAAGGTGACATGTGAATCATATGTTTAGGTTGCCATGGCAAAATCTGCTTCTTTTGCAAACAGTTTAGCAACCAGTCAACCATCACCACATCATGTGTGTTTGCAGCAATAAGGTTTTTGACACGAACATTAACTGTGTCAGCAACAACACAGTATGTGTCTGGTCCGGGGTTCTGCACGACCAATCCTCCACATTCAGCTATTCCCTTCTCCAGATCAGCTTTAGGGTGGTTATGAGGACCATTCAGGACACAGAATTCAACATCATCAAAAATGCTGGACACTTTGTCCACACACGACAGATCTTGGCCCTTGAACTGTTCCGCAATGCCAACAACCTTTTTGACCTTTGGAACAGCTTTCCGCTTTTTCTTATGTGGTTCTTCGTCATTCATGTCAACATGTTTGGATGCAAGTTTCCCTTCTGCCATATTTTGAAGCTGGTCTAAATCGTTCAGAGTCATGCATTCATACCACTCTTTATCATCTCGGATCCTTTCAATTCGGGGAAAGCGCAAGCTACAGCTTGTTTTATACATGTCACTCTTCACAATTTCAGCCGCTTTGACTTGCAGAATGACAGAATTACAAGGCTCAATGTAGACTTCTGGCTTTTCAGTGCCACATAAAATATTTGCTGGTGCGTCTCTTCTGTGGTAAGGCTTCCAATGATCTGCTAGTTTCAATCCCAAGTCGTACAGCTCCTTCATTGTATAACCAGAACCCACACGGCAAAGAGAGTGGAAGACTGATGGTTTATCACCAGGTGATGGAGGTTCAGCAACAGCACACAAGAAATGAGACACCATTCCACCGCGATGACCTTTACCAAAGTAACCACCAACAATTAAGATGTCAAGCTCATCCATCAAGCCATCAATATATTCTGGCTTAATTTTTAGCCAGCCTTCACCACGTTTGTCTGGTTTGTAAACTGACAAAGGATCCTTCACCATAATTCCTTCTTCTCTTTTATCTATAGCTTCGTTCAAAGCATCAGCCACATCCTTTTTGGTATTCATTTCAATTTTCTCTACAACTTGCACACGACCTGGCACTGGTGTAAAAATTGCTTGAAGAGTCTCGTGTCTATTGCGGAGAGTCTCATGTGCCAGCTTCTTTCCGTTTACCATTAATACATCAAAGACACAGAAGCAGGTTTGTAGGTCTGAATCTTCCACCATTCTTTTGATGTCAAACTTGTTTCCTTTCTGCATGAAGGTTTGGGTAGTGGGGTTATAGGCCATCATCTCTCCATCAAGAATACAGTTCTGTATTGTGGGCTTGAAAACTCTATGGATGAATGGTGTCAAGGATCCCACCAACGGAGAAGTACCAAACTGCTGGGTATAATCATAGCCATTACGAGAAAAATACTTATAAACATCTCCATCTTTGTGAAGCTGCATGCGTTCCCCATCAAGTTTAGTTTCCAAATAGAAACTCTGATTGTGCATTTGCTTTTCAATATTTTTTATGTTGGTTACAGCAGCAAGCATAGGTTTGAATGCAGAAAACAACATGATGGAAACATCACTGAGGGACACATTGGGATCATGAAGTTGCTTGCAAACTCTTTCTAAGTCCGTCGTCACACTGTGCAGTTCAGCTGCATCTGGATGGAATAACTGAAATATAGTTTGTTGACTGATGCCTAGTTTCATGTCTTTCAAGATCATACGGATAAGCCATTTTTGTTGGAGTGCTGTGCTTTGTCTAATTAAGTCCAGCAGACTCTTTTTCACTTGATTTTTTCTCTTGGCAGAATTGTTCAGTGCAATAGAGTCTAAGTGCTCATTTACCTCCTGAACAGTTAGCGTACACTGATCTGAACACCTCTGCGCCAGCACAAAAAATGCAATCTCAGCAAAATCACCCACCCCACCATGTGAGCTAGTGGGAGCTCTATAGTTTAGGAGTTTCAGGGCATCCTTACCATCTTTTGACAATCCAAGAACTTCAATGTAAAGCTTTGCAAGCATTGTCTCTTTGATTCCATATGCCATTCTCTCCCTTTCCATCTGGGGGAGAATCAGACGCATTGCCGGGTAGAAGGAATCAGTCGTATTTGGATCGTTTTTGTGAAGAGCATTATGAAAACTTCTCCATGATTCCAGAAAATCTTGGAAAAACTTATTCTTATCTGCCCTAGCCTTATTCTTCTGTATTTTTTCCATTGTTGAACACAGATCAGCAAAAGGTACTTTAGAGGCTACAGTCACTTTCAATGAACTATCTGATGACGTTGATGCAGCCATGGTTAATCTGTAGCGACACCTGGTGTAGAAAAGTTATCACCTGTCAAATCAAAAGAATATGGTTTAAAAATTGACAATTTCAATGTGAATCAATACACATTCCCATTTTGTTTACAAACTAATGCAAGACTCGCTTGAAATATTAGTACACCCAGTTTTCCTTAATTTATTTGCGGCTAAAGAAGTTTGAACAAACTTCGCAATATATAGTGACCATTTAAACCCCAGCTTTTTCCACATCTCATTTCGGCATTGGCATTGAGCCCTTACTCTCTACTGACCTGAAAACCAGTCTGCTGCTTTTACCAGAACTTAACGTCAGATAGTTCACAAATCAAAGTGAAAAATGTTCCCAGTTGAGAAAAAAAACTATTCACACTTGATCAGTTTATAATTAAGAATGTGACTCAATCTGAAATTTATAGTTTGCTACATAATCTATCTGAAATATAAATCTATTCCCCGAGATATATTTTGGCAATGGAATTTGACCAGCCTCATTAACAAGAGATTCGGTATATTAACTAGTGATCAGTTAATAAAATACAGATTTTACTTAATAGCTATAAAACACAATGTAATTTCTAGACCATGTTCCCAAAGTTGTGCGAGATGCAAGGTTGTAAAATGCTACTGACATAAGACTTGGTTCTTTTTAAACTAATTCATTCAGAACTTTTATTAAATTGAGTGGGTAAGTCGCAGCTCATGCTGGATTAGGCGACTGGTCCACTGTCCAAGGAACATCTGCAACAAAAAAATTGGATCTGTTTTACTTCATGTATTCATATAATGCCCTTCACACAGCATAGCGTCTCAGAGCATTTGAGGATGCAGAGAGCCAACTTTTGGATAATCTGGAGTTTGTGGATGGAACAGCTGAAGAGGCGGGTGAAGTGAGCATTAGAAAAGTCAAGTCTGGACTTTATGGGATCAACATCTATCTCTATAACAACTCTTGCATTGTTACACGGATACATTTAATATGTACACACTACGCAACTGCTAAACACATTGTAAAACAGTGTTTTTTCTGCGTTTGCATTTTTTGTGCAACAGCCCCAACGCTTTGTTGCTTGTGTGCAGTGTATTATAATAAGGGTAATAGTTAACTCAGGAAATGTAAATGGCCTGTTTAATTCTGTGTAAACAAAATTGAGCACGGAAGTAGCAAAATTAAAAAGAATCTAATAAATACTAGTTATACAGTATATATGTGCACAATACCCCATGTATAATGTAAGTGCACACATTTCCCCATTTTTGCATCTACTACACACACTGTCCAAGCCAATAATCCCTTTAACTGGTTATTCACTTCAAGGCTGTTTATGGGAAATTGTTGTGCACAAATTGATTCAAGTGTTTGGCCAGAAAATACACAGTCAATATACTTTGGTGCTCTTCAAGATGTCCGCATGTCATGAAAGGTCACATCAAATTCAAACATTATTATTTACTATCTATCCAGTGTAACACAAAATATATGCATACACGATCCTACTGTTAAACACACTACATCCATACTAACCGATACTACTCACACTATGCTACCACTACAACACTATTATACACAACCAAAAACAGAGAGAGCTGGGAAAACTCAGCAGATCAGGCAGCATCTATGGAGAAAGGAAAGCGAGTCAACGTTTCAGGTCCACGACCCTTCGTCAGAACTATTATACACATGTGCAAGCACTATCTCTCTGATACACATATTATGTAGATACAAGACTGTTACACTTTGGCACACATTTACACATACTATCCTAATGTTATACACATTATGCAAGCACTCTCTACTATTACACACTAAGCCCACACTGTTCACTGATACACACTGTTTGCCCTCACTAACCCGTCAGACACACTCTACCTTCTAACCGTAAGTTACAGAACACCCACTCTGTCATAGTAGCATGTGAGCGTGCGCACAAACACACGCTCGCTGGCACAGTCGCCGGGCGCACATACACACACCATCACAATCACATGCACACACCGACACCCTGTCACTGACCCTGATTCACAGACACCCACACCAACCCTGAGTCACAGTCACACCCACAGCTAGACAGCCACAGCTGGACAGTCACAAACACACCCACAGCTAGACAGACAGTCACACCCACAGCTACACAGTCACACTCACAGTCAAACAGTCACAACCACAGTAATACACATATACACACACACACAGACAGTCACACAGAGGCAGCTATACGCACACACCCATACAGACAGTCACAGTGACAGACAGACAGACAGTGACACACACACAGTCACGGTGACACAGTCAGGGTGACACAGTCACGGTGACAGACACAGACACACACAGACACTCACAGTAACACAAACAGTGACAATACACACAGTCACAGTGACACACACATAGTCACAGTGACACACACACAGTCACAGTGACACAGACAATCACAGTGACACACACACAGTCACAGTGACACACACACAATCACAGTGACACACACAGTGACACACACAGTAACACACAGTCACAGTGATACACACACAGTCACACACATAGTCACTCTGACACACACACACAGAAGACACTCACACACTCACAGTGACAGACAGTCACAGAGACAGACACTCACAGTGAGAGTGATAGACAGTCACACTGAGACAGTCATAGTCACAGTGACAGATACTCACAGTGACAGTGACACACTCACAGTTAGTGACAGACACTCACAGTGACAGACACTCACAGTGACAGACACTCACAGTGACAGACACTCACAGTGACAGACACTCACAGTGACAGACACTCACAGTGACAGACACTCACAGTGACAGACAGACAGACAGTGACACACACACAGTCACTCTGACACACACACAGTAACACACAGTCACAGTGATACACACACAGTCACACACAGTCACTCACACACTCACAGTGACAGACAGTCACAGAGACAGACACTCACAGTGAGAGTGATAGACAGTCACACTGAGACAGTCATAGTCACAGTGACAGATACTCACAGTGACAGTGATAGACAGTCACACTGAGACAGTCATAGTCACAGTGACAGATACTCACAGTGACAGTGACAGACACTCACAGTTAGTGACAGACACTCACAGTGACAGACACTCACAGTGACAGATACTCACAGTTAGTGACAGACACTCACAGTGACAGACACTCACAGTGACAGATACTCACAGTGACAGACACTCACAGCGACAGTGACTGACACTCACAGCGACAGACACTCACAGTCACTCACAGTGACGTGACAGACAGTCACCGTCACAGACACTCACAGACACTCACAGTGACAGTGACAGACACTCACAGTGACAGTGACAGACACTCACAGTGACAGACACTCACAGACACTCACAGTGACGTGACAGACACTCACAGTGACAGACACTCACAGTCACAGTGACACTCACAGTCACAGTGACACTCACAGACACAGAAACTCACAGACACAGTGACAGACACAGTGACAGACACTCACAGACACAGTGACAGACACAGTGACAGACACTCACAGACACAGTGACAGACACAGTGACAGACACTCACAGACACAGTGACAGACACTCACAGACGGTCTCAGTGTTACCTGTCGGTCTCCCTCTTTCTCTCTCTCTCTCTGTATGTCATTTCCGGTGTTGCATTGTAGGACCCGAAGAGTCGTCACTTCCTGCAGCTGCGGAGCGTAAAATGGAGTCAAAGAAAGAACCTGAGGTAAGAGAGAGGAGCGAGAGAGGGAGAGAGAGGGGGAGGGAGGGAGAGGGGAGGAAAAGAGAGAGGGGAAGGAGGATAGAGAGACCGAAGAGAGAGAGAAAGAGGATATATATTCAGAGAGCAATAGAGAATATATGGAGAGACAGAGAATATATATATATATATAGAGAGAGAGAGAGAGAATATATATATATATATATATAAAGAGAGAGAGTGAGAGAGAGACAGACAGACAAACAGAGAGGAGAGAGAGAGAGAGAGAGATAGAATGTATATATATATAGAGAGAGACAGAGGATAGAGAGAGAGAGAGGAGCAGAGGAGGGAGAAAGAGAGGGAAGAGAGGATAAGAATAATATTAATCGTCTTTGCATTTGATACGGCACTTCATTATATTGTTGAGATATCTTAAAGCGTTTCATAGGGATGTAAAGTGGATTCATTGTTTATTTTGTGGGGGACACACGGCGGCCCGTTTCACAAAGCAATGTGCCACACGGGGTGAGTCACCAATTTTATATGGGGGATTGTTGGCCAGAACACTGGGAGAAACTCCCTTGTCTTTTTGAATAGTGCCATGGGATCTTTACCATCCACCTGGACAGGCAGATCATTCAAAAGATGCCAACTCCATCAATGCAACACACTTCAACACTGCATTGGGGTGTCATCTTAGACTGTGTGATTTCAAGTCCCGACGTTGGGCTTGAACCCACAGCCTTCTGACTCGCAGGCAAGAGTGCTACCACAGTGCCAGGCTGACGCCAGGCTGACAGCAAGGAAGGGAGGGGAGGAGAGAGAAGGGGGGAGCAGAGGAGGAGAGAGAGAGAAAAAGGCAATCTAGAGAGAGATGTTTTTTGAACCAGTGACTATAGGCCAATAATTTACACTAGCTATCAAGGTGGGAAAGGGAGAGATTAGGATTTTTTTGATATACTTAATAAGATTTGGAATGCCCTTCTGGGTGTGTTAGTTGAGCTAGGATCCATAATAACTTTCAAGAGGGAACTCAGTAGATATTTAAAGAGAAATAATTTGCAGGGGTTTGGGGGAAAGGTAAATTAATGGGACTGAAAGGATTGCTCATAAAGCACATTTATGGTATATTTTAATATTTGGTTCCTATGGATCCATTCAAGACCTACAAACTAAAGCTATATACTCTACATGTGCAGTTTAGTCAATCGTATTTTGCAAATTTTAATGGAACTGCATTTGCCAGTTGTGATCCAATAATAGAAATGTGTTTTAATAAGAGGGAGTGGTAAGCAGGTACATAGTTATTAGATGAAATGGCGAACCTGATATGTACTTGTACTTCATTCTCCCATTCCCCATCCTTCTGTACCTCTTTCTCAGTCAGTTAGACTGTTAGATTAATAGTAGTCCTTGCATTCGCTATAGCACTTTTCACATCAAAGCGCTTCACAGGAAATACTGTAAAGTGTAGTGACTATTTGTAGGCATACGCAGCAGCCCATTTGCCCCACAAACAGCCAAGATGTAAATAACCAATATTATTTTGGGAGATTGTTGTTCAGGACACTAAGAGAAACTCTGTTCTCTTTTTTAATAGTGCCATGAGATCATTACCACCCACCTGAACAGACAAATGGGGTCTCGGTTTAATGACTCTTCCTCAGGATAGCACCTCTGACAATGTGGCAGTCCACCAGCACTACACTGGGCTGTCATTCCAAGGTGGTTTGTGGGACATTGCTATGCATACACTGACTACTGTGTGGGCCCACAAAATTCTCTTTCTTTTCTTCAGCCGGGTGATTGACGCACACACAAATCCATCACCGTTTAAGAGTATCCAAACCAAATTGAAAGTTCCACATATTCCATCTACACATGGAAATTCCCGAGATATTTATTTGAATGGAATGTAAACTCTTCCTGATGGTATGTATCCTGCTTATCTAATTGCAGAGAGTATCATGCATAGGTTGGCAAGAGCCAAAGCTTGGGTACCCAAGAGTACTGCTGCTGGAGTCTAGCCAGCTAAAACCGTATAGCTTGCCATTGAAAGCGCTGTCTGGTAAGCTTTCTTGCTGTTTGTCCAGATAGGACCACTGAATTTGTTAGAGCTTTGGCTTGGAGTGTTAACAAGAGCTGAGGGGTGACTCCCTGTCCCTAGTGACAGGTCTGCCCTTCCAAATCCTAATGATGAGCCAGGCTGACTATGCTGTCACCAGCAGAGCCCTGGAATATTGTGGACCCACTTGGCTCAGGAACCGGGCTACTGAGATGGCCATAGAGGGTTGGCTTGTTTCTGATGTTCCATTGCCAATCATGTCACCTTGGAGCTAGTTCAGCTCCAAGGAAACCAGCCTCCATCCCTACACACCAATGGAGGATAGTCTGTAGTTGGCCATTTGACAGAAAATACATACAATCTCATCACTACATTACAGTATATCCTGGGAAGTGCTTTCAGACATCTGATGATGTAGTGTTAACTACTTCCACATGAATGCAGATGACACCCAACTCTTATTCTGCTTCCACCCTCAACTCCAAGACCACTGCTGTCCTGACAGACTGCTTGTCGGATATCAAGTCCTGGATGAGGGCAAATTTCTTACAGTTGAATGTGAACAAGATTGAGGCCCTCCTGAGTGGCTCGCCTCAGGCTCTGGCAACATCAACCTCCATGGTTGCACACTACAATTCACCAAGCCAGTCAGGAACCTAGGTGTCTTGTTCGACCCTCAAATGTCTTTCTCCCCCACATTCAAGCCATGACCCGCTCTGCCTTCCCTCACATCCGTAACATCTCCCGACTCCACCACTACCTCACCCCTCAGGCCGCTGAAACTCTTGTTCATGCCTTCATCACCTCCAGGCTCGACTGTGCAAACCCCCTGCTTGTCAGCCTTCCCAATTCCTCCTTCCACAGGCTGCAGATAATCCAGAACTCTGCAGCCTGTGTCCTCTCTCGTACCAAACTCCGTGACCCCATCTCCCCCACTCCTGCCCGACTCCACTGGCTCCCTAACCTTCAGAGGATCTAGTTCAAGATACTGGTCCTCACATACAAAGCCCTCCATGGCCTCGCCCCACCCTACCTCTGCAACCTCCTAACCCCCTACCAAGCTGCCCGTTCCCTCCGCTCAGCCGGCTCTGGCCTGCTCCACGTCCCCCGACCCACCCCCACCCCCCCCACCATTGGTGGGAAAGCCTTCAATCACTCTGCCCCCAACCTCTGGAATTCCATCCCCCAGTCACTCCGCCTCGCCCCCTCCTTCAAATCACGCCTCAAGACCCTCTTCTTCGACCATGCCTTCGGCCACCCCACCACTCCCTTCCCCACCTAACCCCAGCTCGGGTCTGAAATGCTGTACTCTTTCCAGCGCCTTGGGATGTCCTCCCGATGTGAAAGGCGCTATACAAATGTAATCTTGTTGTTGCTGTTGTTGATGATGTGGTAAGACGGGCACTATATAAAAACCAAGGATTATTAGCTGGCCCCATAAAGATATTTTTAACAATGCATCAATTGGAGTCCAGAGGCTCAGTGGTTAAAGCACTCGCTTTGCAAGTGAGAGACCTGGGTTCAATTCCCGGCAGGGTGAAACTTTGGGCAATTTTCCTTACTTCCACACCTGATAATAATCCCTCCAGAAAAAATCAATAATAAATTGGTCACTTCAATCCATGACTGTATGTAGGGACCCTGCTGTGCGCAATTGGCTGCCGCGTTTCACCCATAAAACACACAGTCAATTCACTTTACAGTATATTCTGTGAAGCGCTTTGAAACGTCTTGAGAACGTGAAAAGCGGTATATCAAATGCAAGGATTATTAATCTTATTTGTTTTTGCCATGTTGTTTGTCATTGGGTAATGATGTGAGTTGTGGAGTGATGAAATGTCTGATCAGTCTGTACTTTTTTTATATACAGAATAAATGCACATAATTGTCTGCCATTGAATAAGAGACTATGATGGAAAAGACATGGAAGTCATGGACATTTGCCAGGAGATGGGTGATTACCTTGGTCTCTTGGTCCTGGAGTCTATGCCGAATTTCTCTGCTTGCTTTGATACTAACCTTTCATTTATATGGAGGGTTCCTCTTGCTCTTTTTGATTCTTGCATCAGTAGCAGGAATACTTTACAAATTCCAAGATGTACTCCTTTACTTTCCAGAACAACCACCGTCATCACGTTTGTACATTCCTCTCCCCACAGGGATCCCATATGAAAACCTCTTCATTAAAACCAAAGACGGAATCCGACTCAATCTGATTCTGCTGAGGTACACTGGAGATAATGCACCATATGCACCAACCATAATTTATTTTCATGGGAATGCAGGTAATATTGGTCACCGGATACAGAATGCTCTGTTGATGATGGTCAATCTAAAAGTTAATCTATTGCTTGTAGATTATAGAGGTTACGGAAGGAGTGAAGGGGAACCGAGTGAACAAGGCCTATACTTGGACTCAGAGGCTGTACTGGACTATGTCATGACCAGACCTGACCTTGATAAAACAAAAGTAATTTTGTTTGGTCGCTCCTTGGGTGGAGCAGTAGCTGTTCACTTGGCTTCTGAGATTCCTCACCGAATATTTGCAATAATGGTTGAGAATACGTTCTTGAGTATCCCACACATGGCCAGCACTTTGTTCTCCTTCTTTCCCATGCGGTACCTTCCACTTTGGTGCTACAAGAACAAATTTCTGTCCTACAGTAAGATTTTACAATGCAGAATGCCTTCTCTCTTCATTTCGGGATTGTCAGACCAGTTAATTCCACCAGTCATGATGAAACAACTTTATGAACTGTCCACATCACGGACTAAGAGACTAGCCATTTTTCCAGATGGAACTCACAATGACACTTGGCAGTGTCAGGGCTACTTTGCTGCTCTGGAACAGTTCATCAAAGAGTTATTAAAGAACCACTCACATGAAGAAATAAAAACGTCATCTAATGTAACAATCATTTGANTTTTTTTTCCTGCAGGTGGCAGTATATTCAACAGTTTTTAAGCTGTTTCGTGATTGGAATTTTTTAAATTTACAACAACCAGAAAGCTGACCTTTAATTTTGGGAAGACCTTGTTTGTTACATCATCACAAATTGTAAAGCATTTTTACCTGTTTGAATGCATGAGAAAGGTATACAGTTTCATAAATAGCTTTACTCATCAGATCAGCTGACTTGTCCCATTACTGTAATTAAAACGGTTGCCTTTTACGAATACTGTATATATCACTGTGAAATAAGGTGTGTTCACTACACAGAATGTTCTTAATTTTGCAGAATGACCATTAATATAATCTTCATCTTTCTGAACTATATTTTCTGTGTAAGTGGTAACATTTAAAAATGGGAGGTGCCATTCCATTTATTCGGAATAGCTATCAGGATATGCAAGAGCTTTCAGTTGCAGAAAATTATTATACTTGCATTATTTGTTAAACTGAATAGGACAATTGTTCTTGCTTCTTAATTGAAGTTGGTGGACTCTTCAGAGGTTTGCATAACATAAGAAAAATGATAACCATTTAGAAGAGACACACAAAAAACGTAGAAATCATTACACTCTTGAAATTTTACGTACTCTTTAACCACACATCAAAGAAACGTTCCTTTTTCTTCACTAACCTTAAATTCAAGATCAAATGCCCAGTTAAAATCAGTTCTGATGATGTTTCAATGTTGTTCAAAATCTGTCTCTTAGATTCCTGCTAAATAAACTTTGTAGATACACTGAGGCCATTTTTTTGACATTTTGAATTGAAGTGGAACCATGCAGAACGAAATCAACAGACCACTGAGCAACAGACCACTCTCTATTAAAAGATTTAGAACTGCTCAATACTATATTTTAGCCTTAGTAATGTGCTGTGTAAGGCAAGTCCCCATCTACAACACTTGGAGACCGTTTAATTCTTCATAGCAATGTAGTTAGTTGCATCTGTTCACATTTTTGAATATTCCTTGACAAGCCTTTAATCTTTCTCTTTTTATTCTAAGAATTGCTGTCTTGTTTTGACTTGAACAATTCTTTTTCTCTAAAACCTTTGGCCAAAAAAGGCTTCAGTAAGGTAAAACCAGATTACTGAAAACCTGCATTGAGCCATTCAACTCAAAAACACCAGAAGTGAAAGTTTTTTACACCTACCAAGAAATTGCAAAGCAGTATTATTAGTACAAATACTGTATTCTGAATGAATGTATAAAAACAAAATCTTTGACAGAAAAGGTATGTAACCAATGCAGTTTTTTCAGAAATAAAGGCAAGTACAGGAGAAAATGCTGTAGCCGAGCCTTGCTAATGTTACAGTATTCAAAATGGAAATGTTATCAGGATTGAATTTCTTTGTAACTTTTGTCAAGCAAAGCCTTTAAACCTCAACTGTATAGAAAGTAATTTAAAGTCAAGGGTATAATGCAATGAGACTCAATGAGGGAAGTTTGAGTTCATTCAACACTTGAGCAAATGTACTTTTGATGCTGGTGATTCCATTATGCCATTTAGAAAAATAAGGCACTGCTGCAAATTCATTTGTAAATTGCTTTGAAAGTACTTGTACACAGTTTCTGCATTTGCACTTTGCTTTGTTGACTGCAATGACCACCAGCTGAAGTAAAAATAATTAGAAATAGAAATTTTGAGTGCAGTTTTTTTTTAGCCATGGTTAAGGGTGCAATAAAAATACACAATATTATATTGTTGTCATTGAGCAAATGCAGCTCAGGATCACTTCAGACATAATGGACTACCCCATTGAAAATCAGATAAACAATCACAGAATTAGGCACTTATTGGAGCAGGAGTATTGAAAAATAAGTGACACTATATTGAGCTCAGAATGCAAGCAACAAATCTTCCAATGCATGAGAAGCTTCTTTCTCTAATTTGAAGAAATGATCTGCAGCTGATTATGTCAATCTCATGACTCAACAACTGGTAGGCCTGCAGGAAGTCTGTTGGTTAGCAGCAGACATATTTGTATCCCAGCCTAAAGTCTTGGTTTTACTGAAAAAAGATTGTAATCCCACTTCCTTAACTTGTAAAGTGCATAAAGATTGTTGGTCATGCCATTAAATAATGAATTGTGTGTGCAGCTGAAATGGTGGTGTTATCTGGACTGTTCTGCAAAACACAGCACTTCTGCTTTCGACACATCCACATTGTTCTGACATTTTCTCAAACTCTAAATTCATAAATTAAACTTGTCATTAATTCTACATTAATGCTTCTATCCACAATTTTAGGTAATTGAGTTTTGTCATCATAATTTAAAGTTATAATCTTAATGATATAATCCTGTTTTTTGGTATTGTGTCTTTCATGTTGGGTTACATTCCAAAACGCTTCAGAGGATACACTGTAAAGCGTAGTGACTGTTTTCGTGGGCAAACGTGGCATCCAATTGCGCACAGCAATGCCCCACAAACTGGGAGAAACTTCCTTCTCTTTCAAATAGTGCCATGGGATCCTTAATATCCACCTGAACAGGTTGGCGGACCTCGGTTTAAAATCGCATCTGAAAGACAGCACCTTCAACAGTGAGGTACACCTCCAACACTATTGGAGAATCCGCTTAGACTATATGAGTCCCAAGTCCAATGTGGAACCTCACAACCTCCTGACTCAGAGCAAGAGTGCTACCAACTGAGTCAGCCTGACAAAAGTTAGATTAAAATGAATCCATTTTAAAAGGTGATTGCTAAATATTATGAGTGATATTATTAAAGTCAAAATAATAATAAAGTCAAAAGACTATTGTTTTGCAATTTATAACAACAACTGCCATTTATATAACACCTTTCACGCCAGACAGCGTCTCGAAACACTTTATAGTATCTTTGCACAAGTAAAAATAAAGGCATCGGAATTCCAGAAGTGATTTTAGNTTTTTAGTTCTCCAAATATTTTCCTTAATTATTTTATCAATGCTGGGTAGGTTTCATATTTTCATCATGCATAGGAAAAATATTTAAATTAATGTCACTACCTATTCACAATGAAGTTATTGTAAGTCAATAAATTTGAGGAGAGATTTCAACATTCAGCGTACTCAGTATTTATAAAATGGGATTATTGACAATTCCTTGATTGGATTGCAAATTGCAAGGTGTGAAGACCATGTCTCAGTATATTGATGTATTATCTACATATTATGCACCAGATGTAGACTTGTTGTCTGGAAATGTAGGGAGAATTAAAAGTATTTCTGCTATTATTTCATAACATTGTAATTAGTTCTGCTTTTTTTTTCCCTGAAATCTTTTATAGGGGGATTTTGCATTCATTTTATGGAAGTTATTTGCTGTGTGGGTGTATGAACCCATCCTTTCTGTGGCGCAGTGCATTACTGTAGAAGCTTGCAGTTTACTGAGTGGCCGAGCACTTGTTCGTAGATGGGTTTGTAAACAAGATTAGAATCGAGCTAACATTCTGAGGCGGTCTCTGTAACAGCAACAACTTGCATTTATATCCTCACGCAGGATAGTCTCGGAGTGCCGTAGTCCAGTTCCTGAGTCAAGTGGGTCCACAGTATTCCACAGTGTTACTAATGTCAGCCAGCCTGGCTGTACTTGGAAGGGTCTGACCAGACACCTGACTGACCAAAAAAACGATAGCTGCTGGACCATCAACCAACATTTATTGAACAAGCCTCAAAAACAGTATTAGGCAAAATACCACATTCCAATTCGGGATTTGTGATGCATTACAAGAATTGGTTAAAATTTCAGTTTTCTTACCCTGGGACAATAATGATAGGCTCTTAATATCATAGGCACCATTTTTGCTGGAGCTTGCAGGGCTATTAGGGGGATACTTTTTCTTCCGAGTATGAAAAGCTAGCCTCTACTTTTTGGAACAACCAGACTTCAATCCTATCATTTCGAAAGCATATGTGGAGTCCTGTAGCGCATTGGTTAGAGCACTTGGCTGGCAAGCGAGAGGACCTTGGCTTGATTCCTGGGCAGGGCGAAATCATAGGCAAGTTTCCTTGCTCCACACACCTTAGCAGTAAGTGGGGTTCCGGGTGTTAATTGCCGAATTGCTTTTCTGGACATAATAATCCTTTCAAAATGTTTTTTTCAATAATAATAATTTGGTCACTCAATCCACCACTGCTTGTGGGACACTACTGTGCACAATTTACTGCCATGTTTCGCCCACAAAACATAGTCCATTCACTTTGCAATATATTCCGGGAAGTGCTTTGAGACATCTCAATGGTGCTATATCAAATGCAAGGATTATTCTTATTCTTATATGCCTCAATGCAAGGCGTTCACGGTATCAGTAACCTTACAATTATCGTGGTCATCTCATCTCTTAGTACATTGCCTCCATTGATGAGAGACTTGGCAGGCAGGAGAGCAACAAGTGGTATATTTGCTTGATCTTATTTGTCTTTTGGAGACTTTGTGACACTGTGTGACGAGTCCAAAAATATGTGAATACCTTGTCAATTGTGGGGACTCAGAAGGCAAAGTGACATGGACCTGTGATACAATACAATTTACATGTATATAGCGTGGTTTGTGTTGGGGAGGACAATGTCAAAGTGCTTGGCATTGCTGGATGGGCACTTGGGGTGGGTAGGGGTGGGTGGGAGCTGAGTGGGGGGGGGGGTGGGAGCTGAGTGGGGTGGGTGGGGGTGGGTGGGAGCTGAGTGGGGTGGGTGGGAGCTGAGTGGGGTGGGTTGGGGGGGGGGTGGGAGCTGAGTGGGGTGGGTGGGTGGGAGCTGAGTGGGGTGGGTGGGAGTTGAGTTGGGTGGGGGTGGGTAGGGGTGGAGCTGAGTGGGTGGGTGGGGGGGGGGTGGGAGCTGAGTGGGGTGGGTGGGAGCTGAGTGGGATGGGTGGGAGCTAGCTGAGTGGGGTGGGTGGGGGGGGGGGGTGGGAGCTGAGTGGGGTGGGTGGGGGGGGGTGGGAGCTGAGTGGGGTGGGTGGGAGCTGAGTGGTGGGTGGGGTGGTGGGTGGGTGGGAGCTGAGTGGGGTGGGTGGGGTGGGTGGGGGGGTGGGAGCTGAGTGGGGTGGGTGGGGGGGGTGGGTGGAGCTGAGTGGGGTGGGTGGGGGTGGGAGCTGAGTGGGGTGGGTGGGGTTGGGTGGGAGCTGAGTGGGGTGGGTGGGGTTGGGTGGGGGCTGAGTGGGGTGGGTGGGGGCTGAGTGGGGTGGGTGGTGGGGGTGGGTGGGGGCTGAGTGGGGTGGGTGGTGGGAGCTGAGTGGGGTGGGTGGGGGTGGGTGGGGGGGGGGGGGGGTGAGGAGTGGAAAGATCCTCCCATTTGCTGGATAAGGACTCAGGAGAAGGACTGTGAGCTGCAGGTGGAGGAGAGTGCGCGTTCAGGTCAGGGTGAGATTCTGGAGTTGAGACAAATTGCGGTGAAGGAACCTATATATAAATATATATATACACACACACACACACACACATATCTATATATATATATATATATTCTCGTGAAGGGCGGATTCCAGTCACAGGAGGTGGAGTCTGGTTCAGCGCTGAGTGTCGCTGCTGAGGTTCGGGTCCCGTTGCACAAACCAGTCAGACGCAGCAGAGCGCCTCCTGCAGAGCGCGGCGCGGCGTCTCGATGGTGAAGCTCCGGGGGGGGGGGGGGCGTGAGCTGTGTCAGTGCCAGAAAACAAAAAGGGTTTTTTTTTTATTGATCATTTTTTTTATTGATCATTTTTTTTGATTGATCATTTTTTTTGATTGATCATTTTTTTTGATTGATCATTTTTTTTTTTTTGCAATCCCAGAAGATCGAGTTCTGCCCCAAAAAGGGGCAGTTTTTTTTTTTTGACAGGAAATATTGTGCAGCGCTCGAACCTCCCTCTCGGCGCCGGGTGGGATGTTTCCCCCCTCTCTCTCTCTCCCTCTCTCCCTCTCTCTCCCTCTCTCTCTGATCCGTTTATGAGCCGCGATTCGGAATGAGAGTGGTGACGTCCCGCCGCCGGGCGGCCCCGGACCCGCGGCACAGGTGGGTGGTCGGCTCAGCCCTGGTGCTCACCCTCACGGCTTTCCTGTCGGCGTACGTGGCCGCGGTCGCTTTGCGCCATGTGCTCGCACTGAAAGCGGAGATCGCGTCCATCAGAGAGGAGCTCAACGCCTACAGGTTCCAGCTGGAACACTTGGAGGTGCTGGCCGGGGTGCCCGGGGTGCACGGGGTGCCCGGGGTGCACGGGGTGCCCGGGGTGCACGGGGTGCCCGGGGTGCACGGGGTGCCCGGGGTGCACAGGGTGCCCGGGGTGCAGAGGGTGCCCGGGGTGCACGGGGTGGCCGCCGCTCAGTGGAACCGCTCGGTAAGTCACACCGCCTGGAGCTCACTGCAGCGAAACAGTTGTTGATCAGAACCTATCACTCAATTACCCACTCACTCACTCACTCACTCACCCACTCACTCACTCACTCACTCACCCACCCACTCACTCACTCACTCACCCACTCTCTCACTCACTCACCCACTCACTCACTCACCCTCTCTCAGTCACTTACCAACTCACTCACTCACTCACTTACCCACTCACTCACTCACTCACCCTCTCTCTTACTCACCCACTCACTCATTCATTTACCCACTGTCTCACACATTCTCACTCACTTACCCACTCACTCACTTACCCACTCACTCACTCACCCACTCACTCACTCACTCACTCACTTACTCACCCACTGACTTACTCACCCACTGACTTACTCACCCACTCACTCACTCACTAACTCACTTATCCACTCAATCACTACACTCACCTCACTCACTCACTCACTTACTCACAGTCACCCACTCACTCACTCACTACTCACTCCTCCCACCCACCAGCCACTTACCTCAGTTCACCCACTTTCTCACTCACTCAATCCTACCACTCACTCACTCACTCACCCACTCACTCACCCACTCTCTCACTCACTCACCCACTCTCTCACTCACTCACCCACTCACACACTCACTCACTCACTCACCCACTCACTCACACACTCACCCACTCACTCACACACTCACTCACCCACTCACTCACACACTCACTCCCCCACCCACCCACTCACTTACCTATTCACCCACTTTCTCACTCACTCAATTACCCACTCACTCACTCACTCACCCACTCACTCACCCACTCTCTCACTCACTCACCCACTCTCTCACTCACTCACCCACTCTCTCAGTCACTTACCAACTCACTCACTCACTTACCCACTCTCTCACTCACTCTCTCACTCACTCACCCACTCACTCATTCATTTACCCACTGTCTCACACATTCTCACTCACTTTACCCACTCACTCACTTACCCACTCACTCACTTACCCACTCACTCACTCACTCATCACTCACTCACTCACTCACTCACTCACCCACTCACTCACTCACTTACCCACCCACTCACTTACTCACCCACTCACTTACTCACCCACTCACTCACTCAATTACCCACTCAGTCACTAACTCACTTATCCACTCAATCACTGACCCAC